AGATCAAGAATTCATCCATCATCATACAGACTCTGCAATGCTTGGTTAATACTTGAGTCATGTAGGTTAGGGACCCCCAATACATGTAATCTGACCATTAGACAACACCAAGCTAAAGCCCTGTCCATCCCGTCTCCTGCCATGTCTTTAGTTAGGATTTCAGGAACCCCCAGCACACCTTTAGTCCAGATGTGCTTGCTGAAAAAGATGGATGGCCTGTGCCTCTGTCTTTTTCCCAGGCCGACATCCAGGTGCAAAGCAGCTGGGGAGGCAAGGGTGCTGGTGAAGAAGAGGGAGGGGGAGACAGAGGACCAGAGACGACCGAATGGAAGTAGAGCCAGGTGATGTAAAGAATGGTTGAAGACAAGCCATAAATTTCCTGTGGTGCTCTCTGGATGCTCATGGCTTCACCTGGTCTGTTCAGATGGCAAACCTAATACATGTCGTTGCATCACGTATAAATTGCTGTGATCAGTGCTCTGTGAGGCTCATTGTCCCTACTGATGTTTAAAAGTTCAAAAAGGTGAAGGATTTAAAAAAAGGAAACAATTTGAAAGAGAAACTTTAAAAGGGCCACCTGCTGCTTTGCAATAGCATTCATGCTCCTTTTCAACCATATTATAACCACACTGAGTGGATTTTATTGGTATTTTTAATCCAGCAATGCAAAGTAGTGCATAAATGTCACGCTGAAAGAAAATGATGAATAGTTCAGTTTATTAGAAAACACCAGGCCAGAAAAAAACATCATGGAAACCAACTCACAGGTCAGACAGGCTAAAGGTAGAGCACAAATTTTAAAACAGGTTATAAAACAACATCTTTGACATCTGACACACAACACTCTTCAATCCATAAATTGAGAATGGAAAGAAAATTGGCATGCATTCAAATCTACCAACTTGACCCCCTAAACTCATGCTGCAGAGATCCACAGCTCAGCTGGGGGAAGTCGGTTAAAGCTGATAGGAAGACGGATGGAGCTAAAAACTGTTCAGTCCTGGAAGAAAACTTGTCAGTCCTGGAAGAAAACTTGTCAGAGGCTGCTAAGAACTTCAGACTAGGATGGAGGATAACCATCCAACAGGACAAAGACCTTAAATAGACAACCAGAGAAACATTGGAGTGGTCAAATATACAAATGTGTGCTTTGCATTCACGTCCTCACATAGAAGGGCAAACACAAATATGTGTCACACTTTTTAGTTTTGTCAAAAGTTTGGAAAATCATGACTCTTTCAAATCACTTTACCATAATTCCTTGAACTGGAACATCAAATCCTGGCAAAACATCTTGACCTTGGTTTCAGTATCTGTAAGTTAAAAAGTTCAAGGTGAGCAAATATTTCTTCCGCAAGACACTGTAAAAAACAACAAAACAAACAAACAAAAAAAAAAAAAACAGTTAAAAGTTAGGTTAAAATGAGTCCATATTGTTTGGGAGAATTTTTTCTTCTCATGTAAAGAGAAGGGTCTGTTATTAACATACACTTGAGTATTATTTGATTTACTCAAATATATCATTTTGCCCCTTCAACCAATATATCTCTCGAATAAATTTGTCTCCTTGGATACCTCAACCAATTCTTCAAGGTTATTGTATCCATTGAGGCCAAGTCATCACTGATCAAATGATCAACCTGGAGGGTAAAGCGCAGCTTCCCCGCTATCCATATGTTGCGGAGTTTAAACGAGGCTCCACGCTGCGGCTATAGGAAAAGTTAGAGGGATATTTAAACGGCGTGGGAGCGAACCAGCGAGCAGGAAGACAGTGGGGTTCAAGGTGACTGATGGACTGTGATGTCCCACTGTGTCTTATACTACAGCTTTCTTTGAGAATGATTTGGCTCGATAACAGTATAAATGTCTTACAGTGATGCTTTAAAAATACACAAGGAAGGATACGCCACCCACACACGCACGTTAAAAAATATGGTATGTATGTGTGTGGGCAGTGTTTCTCGGCGCGTCATCCATCATGTTGTAAAGCCACAGTAGGCAGAGCGCTGCGTGTTTGGCCTCGGCTCCTCGCTCAGCCCTCATTAGCCATCAATCACTTCCTCCTTCCTGGCCGCCTGCTCGGGAAGAGACCTACTGACTTCGGATCCGAGCAAGATGTTCGCTTTTGGCACTTCAAACGCCCCCACCCTGCACACAAATGCACTTCCTCAGATGGAAAGACGCAATCAGAAGTACCTGCTCGCCCCACGGCGTCAATGTCAAACGCGGAGCTTCAGAGGAAGGGATGCGCTCCGACTGCGCAGAACAGGAAGCTGCCGAATGTAGAGGTCCGCTCGAAGAGGCTCTCAAAGCTAAACTAAACCTGGCTCAATAAGGATTTGGAAATGTCAAAGAGTTTTTAGTCAAAGCTCAAAGCATTGCTAAAGGGCAGCAGTTTCCATTTTGAAATGATTTTGAGCTACTTTAGAGAAAGAGAGCAGTGGCGTCATCTGATTGGGTCCACAAAAGTAATTCTTTGCATTGTAAGATTTGAGAAGGAGCACGTGCATCCGCCTGCACTTAAACGTTTCTATATTTCAGCCTGAATTCGAGTGGATGTGCTAACAGATACTTCCACTGTTAAAGGAGAGAGATGAACTTTAGGTAGAGAGGAAATGACTCCTCTCTGAATTCTTTCCCAGAGTTTCAGCTCCCTTTTTGAGGCTTACAGCAGCTTTATCTGTCTTTGTGTTTGTCATTTTCGTCGCTACCTGCCGGGCAGTGAATGGAGACCGTTGCTTGACACCGACAGCAGCGGTCGGTGTCACAGCGATCCGGGGTGAGCTTGAATTAAGAGCTGCAGGAAATAAAAGACTTGCTTCCTCGAGTCTCCTTGGAGGTTTTGCGGGAACCTTTCACTGGGAGAAGACCCAGGACTTGCTGGGAGGGACTGCATATCATTTTTTTTTTATCTTGTAATGTTCCAAACAACCTGATGGGTGTCACAGGTTTATGCATGGACAGATGGATGGATAAAACGAGTCCTTCAGCTTTACTTCCTTACCCACTTCCTTTTTCTCCTCCTTAAGTTTGCCAGCCTCTGTCCCTTTCTTCTTACTCATCTCTTGCTCATCCATGTTTTGCTCATGAGAGAAAGAGGGAAAGCCCTGACACGTTTGCCCAGTTCCTTAATAATGTCGTCCGTTGTGAACGCTATTAGAAGATTACCCTCGGCCCAGGGCAGCCGAGCCATGTGCAGGAACCAGATAACCTTGTGTTCTGTAATTTAATATCAACACTTACCCTCTTTTTCTTCTCATGCTTTACCACAAATACCCTTCTTGTCCCTTCTGGTCCTATACATCTTAAAGAAGAGCGACGCGCTGAAAGAGGAAGGAATCACAGCTGAGCGATTTTATGGACATTTCTTTACTCTACCAGCAGTTGTAGCAAATTGCTTCTCGTCGGTGGGACACGAGAAACACGCGAACGGGCTTCTTCCTGTTCGAGATTTCAGGAATCCACGCAAACGTTCCCGCCTCAGGACGAATCTCCTCTCACAGCTCGGATTGAGAGGGAGAAGACAGTCTTGCACAAGACCAAAATCCTACTACACTCCTCTCCTCGCAAGATGAATCACGGCCCTGGAACGAGCCGCTCCATCCCGCCGCTGACGTCCCCTCCCCACCCTGAACGCCGCGAGCCACGCGGCGGTGACGCGGAGGCCAGCGGCGCAGGCCCCTATCACTCACCAGCACCCACTCACGTCGCCATTAACGCGCCTTTATCTCATCTCCCGCAGCCGGCCGCGGACAGCCGCCTCTGGGTCCTCCAGGCTACTTTACTAATAACCTGGTCCTTATCGGCCACCGTGCACCTCTGCCTGTGATCAAAGAGCCAATTAACGGAGCGGGGAAAGGTGAAGCATTCAAATAATGGAGACAGCTGTTTTTCCTCTGTTTGAGAAAATCCATTTTGTATTGTTATCAGCTTCGTACAGCTTCGCCCGGCCTCTCTTCAAAACCAGCGCTTAATTCAAGTCGGTGTCTGCTTCTGCCTCGCATGATAAGAGAAAGAGAGAGAGAGAAAAGAAGGTAGAGCGAAAAGAGGATGAGGAAAAAGAAGAGCCCTGGTCACAATGAACTTTATGTAGAAGAATGTGGCAGGAATATCACGGCAGTCCAACTCATCCCGGGGCTTTATCAGCTCCAAAGTGGCTCAGCGCGGAGATAAGGATGGGGAGGGAGGTCACATCCGGGGCTGCGCTTCCGGAGCCGCTTTGTTGCCTCGAAAAGCCAGAGAGCTGATTCCAGCTCTTTGAGCTCCATTACAATCTTGTCAGACAGAAAAAATAATAACATAAAAATAAAATAAAAAAGAAGGTTAGTCAGGAGGTTAATTGTTCTGGTCTCAGAGCAACACATAACTTGCTACATCATATCTGCATATCTGTACTGTTTTGTTGCCACGTTTTCATTGTAGCTCTTTTTTTTTGTCAATTTATTTAAGAAACTGAACCTGTTTCTCATAATGTTATAGTAAGCACAAAAGATTTCAGTTCATTTTCATACCGTACAAGTCGACGTGCTGTGCAGTATGTGCAGTTTTTAAGGTCAGGGCTCCCTTTGCATGAACGACCGCATTCAGATGGTTAGATGTGTACGACTGAAGACGCACTAAACAAGTGGAGAACATCAAATCTTTGAGGGTTGTTTAATTCACATTTTTAAAAAAATCTTTCATCTCGCTTTGTTGATTTAAAGGGATAATTCAGATATTTTGGAATTACAAAAGGTCAGTATCTCACCTGCATTAAACAGTGCAGGTCAGTTGAACTGATTCTTTTGTATTGCAGAGTTAAGCTAATGGCTAAGAGAGAGCGCGAATGCTACTGCACGTTAAGATACTGAATGCTGATAATGTATCCGTAGAACCATGCTTATAAAAACATCGGTAAAAACTTTTGACACTAAACACTGAAATATTTTAATGCTGTTTTTGATCGTGTTAATATCGTCAGAGCAAAAATGCAATCAAAGAACACAAAGACGTCTCAGGTCTATGGGCAAGAATTAACATATTTATTACACTGTAAAGAGAACAACAATACCAGAATTATACTGCAAAGTTTCACAGACTGACAGACCATAGTTTACAGTCCAAAAAGAAAAAAAAAACAAATGAAAAGAATCAAAATTGGTAAATCAAAAGAATCAAATCAACAAGAAACCACAGTTCTGACATAGTAGACTGGAAAGCTCTCTAGAAGACGCTGACTCTAAGGGGTTTAAAAACCGCCGTGTGTCAGCCTACCACTAACCTGTGGTTTTTATATCTTAATAAAGTATTGCACAACGACTTCAAATTATTTGAACTTTTTTTTTTCTTTTTCATTTTTACATTTTGCCAACAGACCAGGAAAACCCTCCCCTCCCCTTGAAGTTCAACTCGTTGCCTCTGGTTAATGCTACGCAGCCCCTGCATTGTTCTCCCGTATTTCCTAATTTCTAGGACGTTTAGATAACAGGCAAGTCCAAATCAACAGCGTTCATTTGTATGTTTTAGGTTTGATTTATTAATTTTGCCATTTTTTATTTTCCTCACAAGATTTGCCTTTTACACACGTTCCCCGGCTGACGGGTCGACCAGCACATCTGCATGTCTTCACAACAGACAAAAGGAGAAAAGAGGGACAAAAAGAAGAACAAGAGAGACATTTCTCCTCTGTGATTTTACTTTATATATCATAAACATAAGAAACAACAATTTTCTTTAAAATTTGCACACACTTTTAGATTTGTTCAAACATTTCAAACTCTGGGTGTACTCAAAGGCGTAAAGGAACATAACAAAAGCTTTTTTTTTCCCTTTTTTTTTCTTATTTCTATTCATTTATGTTTCATTTATTTATGAGGTCTGCATTGTTACCAAGTAGTGATATGGTTTTGCAGCTGTATGAGCTTCGACTTTGGGTTTTATTTTTCCTGTTTTCTTGTGTCCATTTGGTTTAGACTAGACCAGTATCAGTGCCACAACTGATGCTCTTATCGTGCTCTGAGAGGTAGAGTGAGACAAACTTGTTTGCCACATAGAAATTTGTAGCAAAGCACAGCTAGAGAAGGGAATACAGGTAAAATAGAGCTTCTCAAAGAATTGTTGACCACTAGTTTATCTTCTTTTTTTTTTTTTTTTTTAATCCTTTGTCTTTTAACTCAGATTTTGCCCTTTTAGAAGAATGAACATGTTCGTCATTTGTTGTAATGTTTTCCAACAGCTTGGCTGTCTTGTCACAGCTTCTGAGAAGTCGGGACTTGGACACCTTTTTGGACTACGTGACCCTTCAAATTCAAGAGTGCAGGTGTTTAATTTGACACGAGAAAAGAAACAAGAAACTCTGGAGGGAGCAAAGTGCCCCAAAACATTTGTGTGGGCCTCCACTTGTTTCTTGAGGTCAGAATTATATATATTTTTTTGTAACACGCTTCTGTATAGCACCAAGGTGTTTTGGGGTGAGGAACCTTTGAGTATGTCAGGGTAAGTGCTCTCCCAATGCAAATCGGAGGTTTGTTTTACTTATACTGAACATTTACAACAAAGTGTCATCGATTTAATCCCGTATTTGAAACAAACTATTTGGGGAGGAAAATGCAAATGATAGTGGTCTAAAAGTCCAGCTTTACGTTCACATTGTGAAAACTGAAAACAAATTAAAGCCGACAAGGACACTAGATCTAGAGATGCACCGAAAAACTGTCAGACAATCAACTCAGTAGGTCCTGATGTTTACGTTTCAAAAGTATGATCTGTTGATCCGTGAATGCACCAAATATAAGTACATTCAAGTTGGGCAGACAGAAAAAAAAAACTTCAGTGGAGATGTTACTGAGAAAAAGAAGACTCAAAAATACTAATTTTCTACGACTGGGAAATACTTATTTGCAGGTCATTCAGCCTTCAGGAGAGTAGAATATTCAGCAGATAACAGGAAGGCTCAGAAATAATCTCTTTTTCAGCTGTCAACCTCTGTCTGTATTGAAACACGCTGGATTTGGAAAGTCATTTTGAAAAGTTAGTTTAGATTTAGTGCTATATAAATTGCTGAACATAGCTTAAATGTGAAATCTGTAACCACTTAATTTTTGCTTTACTTTCCAGAGACAACACTGATATCACCTTAAATAAATGAATAATAGCCTGTCTTGACAGGAAGTGTCTCTCTTATCAAAGAGACAGGAATTGGCGAAAATTGATATTTGAACAACAAAGCTGGGAGAGACTGGAGAAATTGGCCATTCTGGTCGGTGCATCTCTAACATGAAATGAAAAATTAATCTCGATTCTTCAACAAAATGTTTACCATGTCACATTCTGTATTATTGCTCCTGGTAAAATGTATTGTTGTATTTCCTCCTTTTTTTCCCTCTCATTGTAATACTGAAATAACACATAAATGGACAAACCTCCTTTTAAAACATTTTTACATCAGGATTTTGGTCCTTGGTGTCAGTCTTTGGCTGATTTTGGTGTTTCATGTTGTACTTGTGTAGTAATACTGTGTGTGTGTGTGTGTGTGTGTATGTGTGTGTGTGTGTGTGAGAGACCTGGTGCTTTGCAGTGTTAAAGCTGTCAATCGAAGTCTACACCTCTGCATTTGGAAAATCACTTTGTTAGAGTACTTTTTTTTGTATTTTGTCATTTTTTTTGGTTGTTTTGCATTTTTTCTAAAAAACAAATATTTAACAAATCTTCAGTAATGTACATGCACAGCGTGTAGCTATTTAAATAAAAACATTTTGGGTGCTATTCTTAGAATGTTAAATAGAAAAAAACAAAAACAAGAATTTGATGTGTTTGTGTGTTAAAACTCCATAAATTCAACATAATATAAAAAGAGTGATGATGCTGATACAGATTACAAAATTTCTGATGAATTATGGCTCCAACATGTTGAAAAGAAGCATGCCAAAATAATTTCCATGACAGTGCAAATACATATATGTACAGTGCCGTGAAAAGGTGCTTGTCCTAAAACAGATTTCTCCTGTTTTTGCTTTTTTGTTTCTTAAATATTTCCGATCATGATCAGACAATGGTATCCTGAGTAAATACAAAAATGCCATTTAAAAAAAAAAAAATCTGAATTCAATCTCTTTAGCCATGGCCAGGGATGATTTCTGCCAGACAGGGAATCACAAAGTAGGCTAAAAAATCTCAAAAAGCAATCCACTCTGAGCTTAACATTTAGGTGTAACAAAATAAAAAAGAAAAAAAAAAGAAGTTGAAGAAATCTGAAAGGGGCAAACACATTTTCCCAGCATTGTATGTCCCTTGTACAAAACATTTAGCTTAGCATTCCACGCAACATGCTAGTTCTCAGACAAGATCTGGGTCAAAATTAAGTAGCAGCTCTGAGATATAATATTGTGTCTTTTCTTGGGGTGAGGGGAAAAAAATCATGAAGCTACAAAGAATCTACCATCTACACACAGAATAGAAAAGCAGCTTAAAAAAGGTAACACTTCTTTTTTTTTATCTCTTTTTGCTCAAACTAGAGATGAAATTGTGACGAGTGAACTGTGACTTTTTTTTCCCAGGTACTATGCATTGTCACAAGTGTCCAACACATATTCAATAAATAACCATCAGTGACGCCACAGGACAGGAAGCTTAACAGCGTGACATCTACAGAAAATGAATAAAAAGCGTGGAGAAAAGTTGAGAGAGGAGGAGCATGTCTGCACACTGTTGGGTTTCCAGGTCTGAGCCGCCCAGCGGCTGCCATCGAAGATGTCCGACAGTCTCGCAGGCAAGATGATAACCTAATTTTCTGGTTGTTAAAGAGCTTTTGAAACTGGGCGAGCACGCACGGCGCGCGATGTTTCGCCGCGCGTCCTCTGTGAGTGTGTGCGCTGCGGGCAAAGTTTTTGCATTCTGTCCAAGAAGTCTTCCTTTTTCGTCCTTCGGGGGGACTCGGATTCGGATTTCACAGCCCACTGACCTGGATATTATGACAAGTGAGAGGGAAATAATGCTGCCTGAACAGCTGGCTCGACTTGCAATCTGCTGCACATCTGCCCATTTCTTGGCGGCTGGGTCTGCAAGCCAGAGGTTCAGTCCGTCCCTTATTTATTCATCAGCCTGTATTAAAATCTAATCTCTTCATTTGCTGTGAGCATTGACCACTTCGATCATTCTGCTCCGTTTGTAAAGTTAACTTAGGTGTGAGGTCTGGAACCAAGAGGAAATAAAGCTTAAACGAAGCATTAAAAATAAAACATTTGTAAAGGGGAGGCCTTGAGTTCCTCCGACCAGTCTTTTCATATTTACAAGGGAAAGTAAGATAAGCTACAATGACGACACTGACAACGACAGATACGACAAACAACAAGAGTAAAGAAGTGTAGCAATAAAAGGACGTCAATTTTAAATTCATTCATCCAAAACAAAGAATATCTTTGTGTTTCCTTAAAGTCATGGCAAGTCAATATGACCTGATTATGGACCTCGTCTTCCTCCTCCGTCAACCACGTTGCAAGTCAGACAGAAGCACCGCTGTCCATGTCCACTAGCCGTGTTTTGTCCATGTCTTTGCAAGGCAATGTCAAGATGAGGACAAGTCATGCTGTTTGTGGGTTTTAAGAGCCGACTGAAGAACATGGGAAGCTTTCCTAGCGAGGTGTGCTGTCCAGGGCAGAGGAGGACGGGGTGCTGGGGGTGGACGAGCGCGGCGTGGCGGCAGGCGGGGTTGCAGCCGGACTTCCGGTGCCGCTGCTTGGAGTGCAGGCTGACGAGCTGATGGGAGCGGGAGTCTCTGAGCCCGGAGCTCCTCCTTGCTGCTGGCTGGACTGCTGCTGCTGCTGCTGCTGCTGGGCCTGGAGGGTCTGACCGCAGACATGGTGGTGCTTCTCCCAGTCCTTGTGCTGGCAGAAGGAGCCGCAGTAACGCGCCGTGTTGCAGCCGCTGCACGTCTCACTGGCCTTACGACCACAGTTCCAGCAGCTCTGATGGACGTACGGAGAAGGAAAATATTAGTGAAACTGTCAGTTCAGAATCACTCAAATATTTGTGTGTATGTGCTGAAGAACCTCTGAATGCTACAGCAAACATATCTAGTTACTGTTTTGAACATTTTGCATGGTTTTCATTTCCCCCCCAAAAAAATAATATAGGGTGAAGTACGACAGCAACCCTGAACATACAGCTGGAGGTACAGAGGAATGTTGTAGATCAATGCATATTCATGTGTTAAAATGGTCTAGTCAAAGTCAGGACCTATATGCATTGGAGATTTGTGGTAAGACTTGAAAGATGAAGTTCATAGAAACCCTTCATCCAATCTAAGTGGTCTCAATCCATTCTGCAGCCTTAATTTTTATAAGGCACAAACTCAGAGTGGGTCACACATCAGCTTTCTATTTGTTAAAGGTTTTGAAAACACAACACAAGCAAACACAAAAGTGAGATTTGGGAAAGCAAAATTACAACAATATACACATAACTAACAAACTGTGGTTTATGCAACTGCATATAATGAAACAAGCCTCTGTGCTTATATGTACAAGACAGCAAAAGTAGATCTAAAGTCTTTTCTTCTGACACAAAGACCTCCTAGATGTCTTGAAAGCATTTCAGGGTTGCTGTACATCCGCGGGAAACGGGAGAGTTACAGGCAACCTCTAAAAGTTCTCCCCTGAGACGCTTCTCTTTCACAAGCATCACTCCACCAATTAATGTCAGATGTGAGCCATATTTCCCTCTCACTTAACTGATTAAAACCTCAAGGTCTCCAGTGGTCATTAGCAAACGACGGCTGCTTTCCTTGCGCCCTCTTAGCTGAATTAGAAACGATGTCCTTTACGTTCTGGCTAGTGTGTGTGAAACAAAGAAGACGGAGGGAAATTAAAACAGCAGATGTCTGTATTTTACCCTCCAACTGTATCCTGACTGAAAAGAATAACAATTAAAGCTGGGCATATTTGACCTTTGCAAAAGATATTTCATCAGATTCTCCAAAAGTAATCATGCAGATATTTTTTCCCCCCCACTGTATAAAAGAAAGTCCTTTTAGCCATCTTATTTGAAGGCCTCAGAAACAGAAATGCATAAAGACAGAATTCGACGGCGTATCCACAAGCACCGGACTGAACCGAGAGGTGACAGATACCTCGCTGGAGTCCTCCTGCTGGTTGATAATGGAGAGTGCGTCCTCGGCCGCCTGACGTTTGGCCTCAGCCACCGTGCGCTCCATCTTCGCCCGCTCGCTGCTGATCATCTCGTGAGCCTTTCGCTCGGCCTCCGACACGGCCTTCTGCAGCTCAGACATGGCCTGTCGCTTGACCTCGTTCACCGCCTCTTCTGGAAGGAGTTTGGGAACAGTGAATTTCACGCGTTTTCCTCACACTGGCTTTGGATTTTTGCTTTAAAAATGAACGTGTCAGATAATACAAGTTCAAAGTTTATAATGTTGTCTATGAAATATTTCCTCTTGTCAATCTAGAAGTCACCTGAAAGACATCATGCCATTCAGTGTTCATTCAGAATGCAGAAATGTAGGATTAAAATTTCAGCAGCAAAGTCCTAAATATTAGATACCACTATCATTTTTTATTTTCTTTTAGTGTTTAGGGTTGAGGTATTTTTAAACCTTGTACGTCCTACTGTAAAATCGTAAACGTGTGGAGTTTGGTAAACTTCACCGAGACTCTGGGATGAGATGTTTCATCAGATATTTGGAAAATTTCTTCATGTAAAAAACTATAGAGGAACTTTGATGCCTGTTTCTCATCAATAGGTGTTAACTTTGCTTAGAGTCCAAGAGATCATCACAAATAAAAATGGAAAATAGATCCAGAAGGACGCCAATCCCAAAAGTATGACCAAATCCATGCAGTACAATATATCCTCACTAGCCAAGCTTTTCTAAAGGTTTCATTTGTTTTGGGAGTTTTACACATCTTTACTGACAACACCAACTATATGTTGAATAAATTTACAGCAATTTTTCTTGTATCACACTCTATAGCCTCTATATTTGTAATTAATACCAGGCAACTTTCTATCTTTTTCATCAATGTTTTAACCCTCTCAGGCTCAAATTACTTGCAAAGACTAGCTAAGTAGCATTGAGCTGTTGCAAATCTGCAACATCTGCCTGGAGAGGGTTAATGAAATTTATGATAGATATCTTATTCAAAAAGCAAGCTCAACCTGCATCTCTTATGTTTAGGTGAAAGAAAATGCATACAAAAGACAAAGGAACAAGTCATTTCATTCCAGATAATAACATAGTGCTTTCAAGCTTTCCCAGTGTGTTATTTTACATTTGTTTGTGGATATTAAACGACAGGATCCTGTCAAAGGGAAAGGAGGGCTTTTTGTGTTTGTTCCCGTCATGCCTGTAACTTGACTAATTGTGTATGCAAATCGGCCAATTTACATTTAAATTATGCATTTCCATTGTGAACCCAGAGGCCCACGCCGTGAGGGGAAGTGGGAGAAGCAGTAGGAAACCGTGCAAGGTGCTTGAATATTTATCGCTAACTGTAAACATTTGCCTGTTTCAAACAGATGTATTCACGGCTGCTCGCCATTGTATTAAAAATCCTTTTATTTTTTTGCAATCCTCTCTGGGTTACATTTATTTTGGTTTCTCCTCAGATAAAGGGTGAGCGAAAAAGAGCAAGCCCTGTTTTTTTTTCCTTTTTTTCAATAGACCCCAAAATACAAACAGCTTTATAGCTTATTAAATAGTTGAGTTGCCTTATCTGTACACGTTACAGATGTATTATACGTGCAAAATGTTGTCAATATGAGACATAACGTGCACTTCTCTAAATACATTTTTCCTCCAGTCTGATTGAAGAAAACATTTAAACCAGGGTGGTTTTGTCTTTAACCTACTGTGCTGACTGAAGTCATAAAAATTGCTCTGGCGCCTAGAGATATGAGCCTTGTGCACTGAATAGTGATTACACGCCGAATGCCTGAGATGGAAGATCGATCAAAGCTGGAGAGGGAACGGGAGAGTCCTGGAGAGCAGCAGGAGCTCCAACGGTGTTACACAATTCAATTTAAATGCATATTACTTGTTCAGAGTATCACACACATCATGCATGGTCAAGCAAGGGGGGCAATTTCTTTTCTCCAACAACTTTAAAAGGCACATATAATCTATCACTGACGCTGAATACCAAGTGGACTCCTTCCAGTTCTTCGAGGCAGCCATGTCCGTGAGTGTATTCGCTCATAAGCTTCGATTAGATACACCTTTATTACATTTTTAAAAATTTTTTTTTCTCCACAGTCTGACAGTTTTCAACAATTTCCATCGGGTGAAATAAAGAAAATATTCTTGTAACAGTTCCTCTCCTCATCCTGCCAATTGGGGATCATTTCTGTGTCAGTTTTATAAGAAATAATGACACCACAAACTCCTCTTTACAATGCAACTTAATGGGACCTTATGCTCCCACAGACCCATTGGCTCTTTATTAACGTCACCAGTTCAACTGCTCGCTGTCAAATACCAAATCGACCAATCACGTGGAAGCAATTCAAGGCATAAGGGCAGCTAGGTGAGGTTAAAAAATGATCTGCTGAAATTCAAACTGAGAATCGGAATGAGGAAGAAATGGGTCTATCTGAACAGATAGACATGGTCTGATAAACTGAGAAACTGCTGACCTGCTGGGATATTAATCACTACCACAAAAAGAAAAGAACAAATCCAATACAAGTGGTTTGAACAGAGTTCAAAGTTCAGAGTTCAAAGGAGAATAAGCAGACTGTTTCAGGATGACAGAAAGGTAACAGTAGATCAAATAAATTATTTTCTGTCAAAAACTTCCTCTGATCCTAGACAGCAGCTGAAAACCACACTGGAAACTGTTGATATTACGACTCACTGAAGGACCGTAAAGACCTCGTCAGTTGCACAAGCAGTCAGAGTCCAAAATATACTGAACTTATAGGATATTTTTCTACACTTCTGGTGGCTCCATACTAAGTATCTACCTTATGTATTCCAAGAACTTAAAACTTAAGAGTAAAATGTTTAATCGCTCCCTATTTTATCCGTCTCTGTCTACCTACAGCTGAGTGTTTTGTTCATTTTATTTAAGAGTAAAACTTGTTGTGTATGTAATCTAATCAAAAATGTAGTTGTTCTGGCGCCTAGAGATATGAGCCTTGTAGTTGTTCTGGTCAACCTCTATTATCACGAAACAATGACAAGGTAGCAGACTGACAATATAATAACAGATTTTCTAACCGAGATGCTGAACATTACTCACAGTAATGGTTGCGCATGACCTTCAACCTTTTCTGATTGAATCCACCATCGACAAAGTTTTGTGTATCCAAAATTAGGAGAAATAGGAAACTTTTAGACCAACATACATCATAGATGCCCCTTTAAGGAAAAAGGAATTTTGCTCAACTTGCACTAAAGGGGTACGCAACATTTCTTTTAGAGTATTTCCAAGTCAGCATTGACGTTAAAGACAGTACATTTCATCAACCTACATTCACTCTCCATCAAAGTGGAATACAATCCAGCCTTGATCTGATCCAAGTGGAGGTCTTGTCAGCAGTAAAGAGTTAAGCATGGAATTGGTGCTCACCAGCTTTTTTCCAGATCTCTTCCGGGACATAACCAGACACGGGCCGGTGCAGAAGCTCCCTGTGAATTTCTGCAGAGGAAACAAAGAAGATGAATCACATACCGTGAAACGATTGTCCAACAAACAATGTGATTTTTTTTAACTGTTTATCTAAATAAACCATAAAATAATTATGCTCTTAAAAAGCAGTTGTAACAAGCACATTTATCTGTACCTCTAAGGATATGGAAAAAAAACCCACCTTACTGTCCTCCTCACTTTGCACATTGGCAAGGTTGTATTAAAGCATCAAAAACATGCTTCGAACTTAAAGCCCACAGAATGAGATCCTTTGTAGGCTGTTTTGTAAAAGCTTTGATATTTTTTTTTTACCTGGTGTTGCATTTTCCTGTGCTGCAGGGCTCTGCTGCCTCGACTGCCCGCTGGACGCCCCCTTCTTCAGCTCCTCGGCGTCGCTGTAACGCCTAATCCAATAGTTGAGCTCCTCGCGGTCGGCCTCCTGGCACCTCCGCAGCACAGTCAGCGAGCGCCTCGTTTTCTCCACCATGTCCATGATGCAGTTCAGCAGCTGGCCAGCACAAAAGACGAGACAAAGCGCTGGGTTAACACATAGAAACAAAGGTACGCTTCATTTAAATTCAGCTGAGATGCAATTTTGGAAAAGCGTATCGTTACGTTTTACTGTCAACAGTTTATTTATTTATTTTCTTACTTTAGCTGACGTAGTTATGTTTACTTTATGTCACCAGTAAATAAATCTAAATCTTAACATATTTAAAATGGTGATGCAGAAGAAGAAAGCTTCTACAAGAATTACAGTGCAAACATAGGGGATACTTCTGAAAGAGAACAGAAGGGTGCATGATAAACTAATTGTTTACTATCAGAGTTTTGAAGACTGTGGTTTGCATTCAACCTTCCAGAGTCAATTAAACGCATTTAAATTACGACTGAAAATCTTTTGTGGTGTATTCAGATTCTAGCAGCTTTTTAAAGGGAGAGACTGAAATGTTTTCATAATAACACAAGCTCAGTCAGCTGGATGAAGAACATTTATGAACATTAAGTTGCAAGTCCTGCCACAGATTCTCAGTTGGATTCAGGTCTGGACCTTGACTGGACCTTAACACATCAGTATATTTGGATCGAAGCCCTTCCATTGCTCATCTGACGTTGTGTTTTTATATTTGATGTCCTGCTGGACGGTGCTGCCTCCTCTGACAGGCTGCCTTCAAGAATTGAACCGAAATTAGTCGTGTTCTTCTCCCCATCACCTCTGATCAGCTTCCCTGCTGAACAACTCCGACACAATGTTTCTCTGTTGGGAGTGTGTATTCAGGTTGACATTCACTGCTGGTTTTCAACCTCAACTTTTCGCATGTAGGCCAAACGTACCTTGTTGGTCTCCTCTGATCAGAGCACTGACTTTCCCGTGTTTGCTGTGCCCCGACATGGGGCACAAAACCGCCGCTTTCTTTATACCACACTTTCATAAAGACCAGATGTGTGGAGTGCACAACTAATAGTCGTCTCGTTGTAAGCCTCACCCTCCTGAGAAAGGATATCCGCAACTCTGTCAGCGTTACACCTTAAGACTTTCCGCTTCCACCTTGATTAACGCTCTCCTCACCTGGCCTGTCAGTTTAGATGTACGGCCACATACACAGTGCTTCACGAGATGTCCGAAACTTGGGATATTGCTCTATTATCTATTTCGTAAGGTGTAACAAGTAATAAAATTACACATAATCACTACTTGCTGTCTATCTGAATGGCTTGGGTTAGTCTGTCACATCTGTGATAGTAATGCAACAAAAATGTGGTAAAGCATAGGGAGTATCAACCCCTCTGCAAAACATCACAATAACAACGAGGAGTGTCTGCATGTTTTCATTTTGTGCTGGTTTCACTGCTAGAAAACAAACCATACAATATAAACAATGCACAATATCTGCAAGCTGCAAAAAAGTACTGCGAGTCTGAACATACCTGCAAAATCAATAATTTATGTTACTGTTAGCAAAATAATAATAATTAAATATTCCTAACTCACATCTTCAGCAGACTAGACGTTATTAAACTTTTTTTTTTTTTTAACTTGGTAATATTAGTATAAACAAGCCACAACAAACACATTAGTAATATTATGGCTCTCTGAGCTGCAGTCAAGAGGGGTAAATGTTTTACTACAACATGGAAAACACTATCAATTGTTACTCACAAAGAAAGAATAGTAATAAAAATGTTATTACTTTTCTTACATGGTCAAGGTGCTTCCACTCCTCAGCCCATTCTCTGTCTGTCAGTCTGTGGTCGATCACCTCTTCCTGCCTGCTCCCTGCATGCATACCTGCAGTGGAAAAAAAAAAAAAAAAGATCGAAAGCAAATGGAAACACAGAGAAAGAGTCAGTACAACAGAGAGCAACAATTGATAAAACATTACTTCATCATTCTCCTTCTATTATTTCTCTATTTTTCATCTTATCCCTTCCTTTATGCCCCTCTCTCTACATCCATTTTTCCTCCCTGCCCTCCTTTCTTTGCGGTCTCCATATCTCTCCTGCACCCTGAGGGCAAATGACTGAACTTCTCGTCCAGTTAACATCCATCACCGGGTGAGACATGGTAAATGTCTCTCCTATATTTAGAAAAGAGCCCTTACAGCTTCATCACAACTTGGCATAATATGAGAGAAAAAATGTCTCTCACATTAAAACACAATGTTAAAATGTAGCAATAGTGGCTGCAGCACTGGTTTTTGTTCTCCAGTAGACATAAACTAGGTTTTTCTGGGAAGCAGGAATAACAGTCTTTCATCTGAGCAATAGAGGCAGTTTTAACACTGAGACTAGTTGCAGCCCTTCATTAAACAGTAACACGATATCTCTGACCACACGACTAAAAGTATGTAATTCTGACGAATGAAGTCTAAATAGTGCAAAAAATACCAGGAAACCACAAGCAGGACTTAAAGAGGAAACATAGTCTGAACGCTGAAGTCAATTTTACATCCACTCTTCTGTTGTTGCAGGAGATGTATCAAAATGCTTAAAATTACCTGTAAAAACATGGCTAAGAAAGAGGCTTTACTTAATGTATAGAACAAACTCATTCTAGGAAATCAGTGATGACAATTCCTTTGCATAAATTAGAGTTTATAAACAGAATCCTGAACAGAAAGGCTGTTGATGTTTCCTTAGGCATCTGCCAAGGTTTATGCATTCAAGCCATATTTTTCCCAGTTTTAGCTTGTATGAACAAAATGTCTTTATCATGTTTTTATTTTTTATTTATATTCTACTTATTTGAATAAGATGAAGCATCAGAGGACTATCAGTCATCAACTTCCATTACGATTTAGTTAAATAGCTCTAAACCAGGGCTTCCTAGCTCTAATAATCAAAACTTCTAGAAATTTCTCTTCTGTCACCAATTAGATTTAAATCACCAGGAGGAATCTGGAGAGATGCTAAGAAATAAGCACAATCATTTGACTTGAGCAGAGACACAATAAACCCCGAGGACCAGGTTTCACAATAAATGCTCCCCGACTTAGTGAAATAGTACATTGAATGTTCCAAATTACCTTTCTTTTAATCAGGTAAGAAAAAAAACAACCAAACAAAACAAACCTTTTACAAAGCTCAGTAAAAGGTTTCCTAATTAGAGAAGAAAAATGTACAAATGGCTTTTCAAAGCCACACAAAGCATGCTGTGTAAGGCTGTGGGAAACTTTAAAGCACAAAAAGCAAGAGGTAGTTTTTAAAATTATTTTGATCAGCGTTTATTATTTCTCCACGTTTGTAATGTGTCGAGTCTAAAAATCTTCGGATGTCTAAATTCAATTACAGCTTTTTGTTCCACAACTCAGCCAGGAGACCAGCGAGTAAGAAAACAATCAGCCAGGTGAGACGTGGTGGAGGACAGACCTGCTCACGACTAGTTTACCTTTGTGTCTTTCATACATTCATATGGTCTACTTAAATCCATATGAATTCAACGAGTGGTAGCAGGAAAAGAGCTTATAGAACAAAGTGCATTCCTAGCACAACTTGACCTCATGCTTTTTGGCCATTTTCTGATCTGCATGCAACATTTTGCAATAATTATATGCATAGTCTTAAAGTTGTATAAACAAGGAGACAAAAACAAACAAAAAATAAATCAGTGAACCAAAAAAAGACATCCTTACCAATAGGCCTGGCTCGCTCTCGGATTTCTCTGTGATTGGAGGCTGGGTGTCTGTATGTGTCACGGTAATGATGGGCGATGGCCATGTCGTCTAGCCTGTAGTGCTGTGGAGGAAGGGGACCCGGGTGGGGCAGCCCATTGGGTTGGTAGGAGAGTCCATTGGATGGACTGAAACGCTGGGCGGGGCTCATGGTGCAAGGCCGTTTGCTCGGGTGGACGTCTGGGTGGATGGCGCCGTCTCGCTCGAAGCCGTTCTCTTTGGTTCTGAGCAGAAACGCAGAATAACGAATTCGGTTGTTTGTTTTTTTTGCATTTGAAAAATCATGATAATAGGACTTGATGAGAGAGAATGACATTAAATACGTCTTCAGTCTGATGTATCAGAAAGCAAAGAGATGTCACAAGTCACAATACACGAGGAGAGGTGAGATAATGATACAGGTAAAAATGATGTCAATATCACACCTCGTTTGTGAAGAATATGTGGTACAACACCTGCTTGTTAAATTTATTCTGTAGAGGAGTGTAACAACTGGGGCACGCCCTGGAGCTGTTGCTCCAGTATTAGTGCAACCTCCTACCAGATGAAGTAATTGCCATGACAGGCTGCATTACCTGGAATCATCAAGGGGTTTCGTTCTACTGAAAACAAGTTAAATTTATACATAAACAATTAAACCTCGCTCACGAAAAGTAACACATGCAGACTCACACAAGTAGTTTCAAGAGGATCAGGTGGATTTTTGTTTGCCTGCTTCAGAAGATTAATGTGGCCAGGTGTGTGTGTGTGTGTGTGTGTGTATATGCTTGCACATATGTGCCTACAGTATGATTTTGTGTGTGTTCTCAGCTTTGTCAGTTCACAGTTAAAACCTGCCAACCTCCCCTGCTATCAACGGTCCCCTGGTTTCCTCTCTCCCCCTCTGTCTCGCTTCTCTTCCCTCCCCATCCCTCTCTCCGATGAACAGATTGAACTTCTTAATGAGCTGTTTTTATGGGCTCCTAATGCTCATCCACAGCTCTCCATATGCTCTTTTCTTCCATCCGTCCATCTCTCCGTCTCCCTCGACTCATCCATCCACCTCCTCCCACGCGCGCCTCCCCTGCTTTCCTGCTGCAACAATGTTTGCATCTTATAGACACCAGAGAATAAACACGCACTTACGGTCGCATTCATGCACAGTTTGCTCATGCGTGCCAGCACGTTCTTGTTTATAGCTAAAAAAAATGGGCATTCTGATTAGAAATGCGCAGAGCACTCAGCTGGCGATCGTTCCTGATTGGGATGTATTTTCTAATCAGCGAGCGCAACAAATAAATAAGTATTGACAGGTCTATAGTCTTTCATGGCAGCAGACTCAAAATTAGTTGCTTTCCGTCTCTGTGTGAAATGAAGCCAGAGAAGGCACAAAAGGTGTAAGCAAACCTCGTTTTACTAGGAACATGTTGGCTTTTCATTCAGCTACTTTTAATCGGAGGGAAACGTCAGCAGATGTGAGTAATGCTGAAACAATTGCAGCGGGGATGCTCTTTTCTTCTTCAACAGTTCAATTCTGTCACTGAACATGCTGGATTTGTCAGAAATGGGAGTCTTCTGCACATTTCATAGATGAGATAAGGGTCTACTTAAAGTTCAGCCAGGGTCTGAAATTCCAGGACTCGGCGGCCAGCGATCACTTGAATGGCTGCAGCCTTCAGTCAAGTGATTCAGGTGTGTTAAGGCTAATGCTAACTAAAACTAACGAGAGCGTGGCTAATTTGTGCTCGTTTTGACAAACGAGAGATCTCGTTTTATAGCAGAGCTGTGTAACAAACAACAACAGTTCTCACTTACCGAGACTTTGCCTTTGGTATTCATCAAAATAACTAATGATTGCTCACTACACAAGGCTGCTTAGCATTCCCATATAGATCCAGTGAGTGAATGGTTTGAAACTCTAACTCAAAGCATTGAACCATTCATTTACATGAATGGTTTCTTAACAGCTTCTTCACGCCTTCATGGCGTGATCATACGGTCTTCTGGAGCAAAACATGCAAGACACAGATCTTACTCTACCAGCAAAGTATGAGTCCAGTCAATGTGCTGTACTTCTGCACTCTGAGGTGATCAAAAACAGTACGACATGTCTAATGGTTTGATTTATGTTTGTATTCAATTGTTTCCCATTATCTGGGAGCACCGATGTTTTTAGATTTTCAGTTGTTGCTCCGTGATTTTAGGCTGTTCTTCAAAAAGTTAGTTCTATTTTAATACACTAACAATATATATCTTATTTAATTAAATTGGTTTCCCTCTCAATTCATTCAAAAAGTAAAAACTATATTTTGCTGTTGATACTTCTTCCATCAAAATTGAAGTCAGTAGAGCTTTACAATATCAGCAAATGAGAAATCACCTAGAAAACATATCTGACTGGTTATGTATATTTTGAATAGGGTCAATTAAAAAACGATCTAATTTATACACATAGGTATCAGTTTTGAGTAATTATTCAGATTTGCGCTTTTTGTTAATCTGGTTAAACTGACCAGCAGGTTTTTCTTTAATTTGTCACTAAAATAACGTAAAAAAAGATTGACAAAATGAACAGCGACATGCAAATATATACATTTCCGAGGTTTACTGGGAAAGTTTCTTGTGCAGTTTAAAAGCAACAAAACGCTCTGCTTCCTCCCTGAACGGACAGTACACAGCCACACTCCCTCTGGCAAGGACCACAGCTTGTAACAAGTTTTTTTTCTAGCGGCTCGAGGTCCCTCAGTTCTCGTTTGGGGGATTTTTACTTGTTCTTCCAGAAAAAGCCTTTGAGCCTCTGTGAGGTTCTTTTGCCAGCCTGCATGCTCCGCTCCTGTGAGGTTTGTCCCAAAATTTCTGATGATGATTAAATTAAAAGCCTTCGAGGGGCAGGGAAAACCTTCACCTTACACGACGACGGTGTGAAGGTCGGGATATTGGTGTAAAAGGAATCCTCTTTATATCTGCAGCCGATTATTTGTGCCAACAGTGTGATGTGTGCTTCCAGAACTTGTTTCTATTGACGTTCCAACAAGCAGAGACTGTTTACTGTCACCAGTTTAAAGCAGGATCCAGCCACAATATTTAACAGGAAGTGGAAGATATTTCTTTCAACGTTTTTCTCTGAAAATAACTCTCCTCGTTCAGAATAAAATACACTCAGCCCACCGTATGTTCTACCATTTTACAAACCATTTTATAGCTTTTAGCTTGCACAATTGCAATACTTAATTTCATGGCACAGACACAGAAGACATTCTCTACTAAAAGGTTCTCCATTAATGTGGGAAATCAATCTTAATGTTGGTATGCTGCCTTGATTTGTCTCCAATCAGTTCTCTTGTAAAGTCAAACGTCGAGTTCAATTCCAACTCTGGCTGTGATTTAATAAATATACCTCCTTGTGAAGAGAGAGAGACCTTTCAAGGCATTTATCAGTACTCTCAGCTGAGAAAAAGTATTCTCCTTTTCACTTATTTCCTTTGTTCTTCCATTTTAGTCGCACCTCAGAGTTTCAGATAATCAAATATATTTTAATCTTAAGCAAAGAAAACGTGAGTCAATACAAAGCTCTATCCAAACAAATCTTGCCAAACATAAAAATACTATGGGGACATTTTGTTACGTTATAAATTACATGTAATGCATTTAAAAATTTTAAGATAGGGTCTTGATCAAAAATCCATAGATATTTATCAGTCTGGACTGAGCATCACACCTGCACTGCTGAATGCAGCTGGTATAAAATGTTAATTAAAATAGCCTTTTTAGAGTGATAATGGCTTTGTTGTGTGTATATATTTTAATGATATTCCTGAAATCCACATGTCGTAGCCACTGGGTAAAAATCTTGTCCAAAATTGTAACTTTTCAGGAAAAAAACGAGAACTTCTGCCATCTTAAAGTAAATTCATCCAGTTTAGTCAAAGTCGCATGCTGCTTTTATACTTTTCCAACAGGAATTCATCAGTGAAACACAAATGAATGTGATGCGTAACCAGTAGAGCTGATTTTCACAAAAGAAAACGTGCAAAAATAAAAAAAAACTGCAGATACCAGATTTTTGCCTGACGAGGACAACATGATTGCTCCAATCAGCAGGCATCGACAGAGCAGAGGATTGTTGGAAATGAAGGATTTCCACTGAAATTCCAATATTCTGGGAAGAGGTCTGGGAAGGCAGAGTGGAGGTAAGCAGAAACTGGAGGTGCTTAGCCAGCCATAATGGTGCTGGAGCCTCATCTGTATGTGTTACCAGCCCGTCTCCCCAGGCTCTCACACAAGTCTGAACTCACACTTTCACACTGGATGTATCCTCACACACACACACACGCACACCCCCCCCCCCCCCCCCCCCAACACACACACACACCCAGCTTCACACAAAGATACTGTTTTTTTTCCCCTCACTAAATACAGATGCCGCCGTACTTTTTCACTCCTCTCATATTTTCACCTCTCGCATTTATGAACGCACCTTTTCTCCTAACCCCGTTCCCCTGTGTACCAGACGGCCTTGCAAATAAGCAGGTATTACTGAAAAGAAAAAAAAATCTTGGTGTTGAAGGAAGTCGGGGTGGAGCTGGATAGGGAGGTGAGAATGTTTAATAACACATTCAGCAGTTTTGCCCCTCAGCAGATACAATATGCACATTTCCCTTTCACCTAGCCTGTCTCCATTTTTTTTTTCCCCAGCTGCTGGGACTTCATTTTAAAGTACAATGCTTACATTGTACTTGCAGCCCAGACAAAAATGCACAACAAAAGGCAATTCTATTGAAACTCACATCCAGAAACTTAAGAAAAATGCTTAATAATGATAAATGTGGGAACTTGTATGTAGATTTTAATACTTTTCCCCTTTACTACCAACACACAAACAGCTCTTCAAGCCCAAAATGACTCTCTGCCTTAATTCGTCCAGTTCTCTAGTTTTCAGTTTGGAGAAGTGCAAGCAACACTGAGCCACTTTTAAAGTCTACTACACGGATTAGATGATACAGTCTGGATGCAATAGGAGGATTGAATTGATTCTAAAAGAGAAACATACCCAGTCCATTTTTACAAACATGCATGCATAGAAATAATTAGATGTTGCAATATTAGAATCCACAAAATTTCTTTGTTAAAGTAAATCTGCCTTCTGAGGGAGACTTTGAAGTCTGCTTCCTAAGTTGCAGTTTGAATGACTAGCGGTTTGCATGACTAGCAGGGATGTCTAGCTCCCGTCCTCAAGAGGCGCTACCGTGCTACTTGTGAATGCATCCAAGTTTTATAACATCTGAGTCAAGCATGTTTTTTTGTCTGCAGAGCCCTGACAACAAGCCATTCATTTGACTCTGCCGAGATAAACCATTTTTACAGGATTTTTAAGCATTGTCAGAAAACTGTGACCGGCTAACTCGGCCTACATGTAATAAATGCTAAATTTAGCTATAATTATATATTAATTAACCTGTAAAATAATCATTAATGATTATTTTACAGGTTAATTAACTAAATTTGATTATCTCTAGTTCAAACCTAACCTGGGTAAGGCTCTACTCTGTAGAAATTTCCCAGACACAGTTTGACCTTTAGCAATTGAAACCACCTCAGCACAATGACAGAAATAAATGAACAAGCCAACATTTTACAGGATTATCCTCATTTTAAAAATATTGTTCAAATTGGTCTTCCCTCATGAACCTCGTATCTTTTTGTCCTCTATATTGCCTTGAAAAAATGGCTAACAAGGTATCAAAGCATATTACTTGAAGTATTCCACCACATTTCTTCTTCTGTCCTGTACAAGTGGATGTCTTGGTAGAGTCAGGTGTGTGTTATTGACTTCCTCTCTACAGTTCCCACCTATTACGGGCAGCGGGGAGGAGCCAAGACCTCCAACAGAGCACATCAAAAAACCCAGTGGTGCATTTACAAACCCTTCCCGTACATACATTTACACATCACACTATTGCCTCCTGTTGGCTCAGCCCGTAATGCAACAGCTCAATGGGATGCAGAAAGCCTCAAAGGGATTTATACATGAGATCAACTAACAGAGAAAGGAAGAGAAGGTAGTGGTGGATTTGAGAGAGGATCTGGACCGACCATTTAATTCGGAAATCATTTAACTCATCCCCCAAATTCGGTTCTTAAGAAAAAACTACAAGAGCCAGAGTGATGAGTTTTTGTTTTTGTTTTGATATGCCCACCTGTCTGGCGTCCTTCTCTTGCCGTTCTCGTTGACGTCAAGCAGGAGCTCGGAGGAGTCCACTGGAGATGTGGTGCTGGTATCGAGGAGTAGCTGCTCGTGCTGAGCCAGATACTGAGCTGGGTTCTGCTTGGCGAGCCTGGCACAGTGTAGAAGCTCCCTCTGAAGCAACGGCAGGTTGGCCTGGGGAAAAAGTTTTTATAAAATTACGTCAAAAAACCCCCTCAAAGCAGAAAACATTTTTAGGAATTTTGCACCTAACCGGCTCTAGCTGCTGGCACAGGTAAAGCCGTCAGATAATGTGTGCTGAAAAGGTTAAAACAAAAGTTCAGAAGCAGTTTTGCTTTTCACAGGAGGCGTTCACCTTGAAGTAATTAAAATTGTATTCAGCATTTTTGTGCAGGAACAGAAATCAAACCTACTTTTTAAACATATATATATATTTTTATGATTGCTTTTATATAACACTTGACGTTGTCAACTGGGAGTTATATCTCTGGTTGTACTATCGTGGCAAACAGGAGGTACACATGTGGTTTTCAAAAAGCTATTACAAGACATGAGTCACATATTTTAATAGTTTTTGAAACCACATGTCACATTATGTGACAGTGTTTGTTAATTGGAAGATCGCTCCCGTTTACTAATAAAGTGGTGGCGACTGCAGCTCTACGTCGTATATATTAAACCAAAAGCAAAATGAACTTTTAAGATTAAAAGAAAAGTGTTCAGAATCTTTTATTCACTAATTTTTTTATAAGTTCACCTACAGCTGCAAATAAGAATTTTTACTATTCTGCTAGTGAGAACGGTCGGTACCAATATATGATTTTTTTCCCTGTTTTACGATGGTAGAAACAAAAAAGACAAGCTCCAAATAAACATTTTATGTAGCATTGTGTCTGATTTGATTACATGTGATTGTATTTCAGCTTTTTTACAAGTTATTTTGATGTCTTGATTCTGTTTTATTATTTTCTTGGGAAGCAATTAGGGATTTTTATCTTGGAAGGCATTATTCAAATGTCTTTAATAGTGTTTTTTTTTGTCTTTCACTCAGTATATGCCAAAAAGTAAAATTTTAGTCACTCTTGTAATTTCAAGTTAGGAAGTTTCCAGATGTAAAAAAAAAAAAGCATAGAAAAAAAAAGTGGTATGTCATGTCGTATTTTTGAAGCGTCCAAACATATTTTATTTCAATGAGGATAAATCATAAAATTGTGTTTTCCAGCTCCGGCTCCAGACGAGTTTAACTGGGGGGGCTCTGGCTTATTCTGAGGGGACAAAATGAGTCTATGTAGCATTAATAATATTACTCAAGTTAAAGAAAACGGCACAGTGCAGTAAAACTGCTCTTATAAGAGCCTTTTTTCCAAAAAAGTTCCTCCAGTGAATGTAACAAGTACTACCCACTTTTGAACATAAACAACATCAGTAGCTTACAGGCTGCTTGTTAACAAGCTTACGGTGCTGTATTGATATTATCTACTCATCATTTAGCTAACATTATCTGCAATCAACAGCTTTACTCAACTCAATTTGGAGGAAAAACTGTACAATGCCCGCCCATGCTGCCGGGCCTGATCTAACACAAGTGTTAAAAGGAAGGCAGAGAGTTGTTCAGAAAATCTCAGAAATTGTTCATGGATCAGATGCAAAATAAAGTTTCTCATTCTTGATGATCAAACTCACCTTTGCATTACAACTGAACCAGAAAGGCTCCAAGTGACCCGGAGCACATCAACACCTGTAAGGTTTCTCTGTGACGCATTAATTTAATTTTTTAGTTGTAAGAACAGCACCTTCTTTCCAATCTGTCTTTGACTGTAACAGAGGGAGTCTGCTTTCTTGTGAAGTTGCAGGGACATACAGGTATGTGAGCATCCACTTCAAAGACATCTGATGGCATGTGTTTCAAGGCAAGAAGATGAAAGCGTTGCGTCAGGAAGCCTAAGAACAAGAACGGCTGCTATTTTAGCTGGGATACGTCACGCTTTAGGTGGGTTAATCTTTGTCTTGTCCTCCGAAAAAGAAAATCTTTTAAAGTCTTGAGACGTTTTGGGGTTTTATAATCTCCTTGTCTAGTTTTACTGCTTTAATGTTTATTCCCCTGATCCACTCTGACTTTTCCATCAACTTAATCTCCTGTTATTATAATCGTTGCATAACCCGGCCCTGATTTTTTATTTTCTAGCATTAATGTTTAAATCTATGAAAATCACCTTCATGCAAGAAAATAAATGCCAGGAGCTGAACTTTGCTTTACCTTCCAGAGCTAATGATCCAGTAACAGTTTATGATCATAATTATTCCAGAATAAAAAAAAAGAGGCTAAAATAAATAGCTTTGACCCTGATGAACCAATCTTTTATTAATTGGAGGTCATCCTAATTGCCTGTGAGATGTGGGAGGCATTAACAAGGAGATTGAGTCAAGAAATGCAGAGCACTAAAGAGGCTGCATCATTTTTCATGTGATTAAGTGCTGTGTTTGTTCTGTAAAGCTGCCAGACAGTTACACGTACACCCACACACACACACACACACACACACACACACACACACACACACACACACACACACACACACACACACACACACAACACACACACACACACACACACACACACACACACACACACACACACGCAATGAAATAAGCCATCAATAAGCATTCGGTAACCTAAGCTTTAAATTTGATTCACATTATTGCCTTTTTCTTTTGTAAATGAAGATTTTGCATTAGTGCACTTAGTTTTCCTATTTGGAGTAAAAACTGACAAAATATTAACTCACTTTGAAAGTCAAATTGATGTATTTTTTTTTTTACAAAGTATCGTCTATTCAGTCCTCTTTAGCCTTTGCTTTGTGGCACCTTTTCACTGTAAAAACAGCTGCAAGTCCTTTAGTTTCCTGTAGCGTTGAACATCCAAAGGCGGTCAATTTTGCCCATCCTTGTTCGCAAAAGAGTTCAACTCTGTCACACTGGGTTGAGGGAGTCTGTCAAGATCAGTTTTCAGTTATCTAAATTTGTAAATAAATTTAAATCTAGACCCATTTCAACACATGAACTCAAGTCTGCAGCCTCTAATATGTTCTCCAATAACCTCTGACATGCTTTTCTGTCCTGCCACTGATTTTTCAGTTCTACACTATGTCGGTTTACCACATAAAATACCAATGATAATAATAAAACAACATGAATTTCGACATCGAACACCATTGTAGGAAATGGAGCTTTTGCACGCCTCTGTTATCCCATTTTAATTATTTCCTCTTGCGGCTTATTCTCACTGGCAGATTTGTTGCGTCGCGCTTTAAAGAAGGCTGAACGGTTCGACTGCAACGGCACGACGTAAGCTGGCGAAAACAGAGAAACGCTGTGGCAAATCTGTGGCAGACACCCAACAAGCACATCGCGTCACAGGCATTGTGTGGTTTGTGACGGTTTCCTTCCAGTAAGGCCTCCACACCAATTTGTGGTTTTAGCATTAAGAAAAAGTGGACAAGAAGTTGAGTGGGCTTGAGATGGCGGGTTGAACTTTGTGTATGTGTATGTGAATTAGTTTCACAAAAAAACCACACGCCCTGACGCACATTGTTGCACCCTTAAATGTCCCCCTTTCCTACACATGCAAGGTGCCATATGGTACCTAGCATTAAAGGCCCCACTGTGGGAAGACACTAAAATTAGGTGCTGAGGAGAGAGACAGCAAAATAGAGAGAGCGAAGGAGAAATGCAAGGGAAAAAAAGAGAAGAAAGTTGCATCTTTGATTCCACAGCCATCCCAGGGATGCACTCACCATCTGGCAAGGAGAGGAAAAGGGAACGGGGCGGACGGACAGACGGATGGACGAATTGGTGGAGAGAGAACAGCAGCGTAAGGCTGAAAATAATTGCAAGTGAACAGATGAGATAAATAGGGGAAAATGACAAATATAGCAGAATATTGGGTTAAAGGCGTGGACACGCCACGTAAACAAAGAGCAAAAGGGTGTGACAGAAACAAGCCAGCTTCATATTAAATGTTCCGCCTGTCCTTCCTCTCCATCTTTCAGTCATAAACTGATATTGATCTCATCTCCACTCACATCCCAGAACATGAGCTGGAGTGTGACGGCACAGTGGATCCCTCAGTATCAACCCCAGGTCCATTCGTCATGTTTGACTATCACAACAAATCGCAACTCTGCCACCGCCACAGGCCTTCCCTCCAGCCCTGCCGGCTGCAGACCAGCACATGCAGCTTTGTAACACTGAACGCACACAGACGACCACAGCTTCGCTCGCAGATGCAAACACAAGAATCGCCATCACTCTTAATTCTTACAGCTGGGACAGAGAGGTGAGGCAAGCTACATGCTCAACGCAATACTTTGGGATTTGTGAATTGAAGCTCTTTTAAAGGGTTATGAGCATTTAATAGTCAGCATTACATGCAGCTGAGCACATTAATATTTTGTTTATTTAAGATAAATCCAGGTTGATTAGTTTCATTTCAAAACAACTACATTATCTTGATAGTGGAAGCCTGCTTTGCTCTTGGACTAGCAGCTTCAGCTTCAGGCTGCGACTCCATGGATTTATACTAACTAAAGGCACAAAGTGAGTAACGCACTGCAGCTGCAATATTAACAACCTATAATCTTTTAAAAGAATGAAAGTATGAATGAATAAATATTAGACAAAACCTGCCGAGAATCTACCTGGCGAAAAAAATAAATAAATAAAAATATTCACTAAATATCTGCTTTTCTCCCACATGAAGGCACAATTCAATTCGAACATGTTTGTTAGTTTTTAGACAATAATCTTTTATAATGGAGTTAAAATACAGTGAGAAAGAAAGAGTGTTAAACACCAAGGGAAAAAAAACAGAGGAATAAATCTGCGTTAAAAATAAAGGCTAATGCTGAAAATGGGGATGAATATCTTGAACTTAAGTGGGCACATCTGGATCCCGAATGCCTAAATGCTTTCCAGATTCTGGTTTGAGAGACGTACAGGCAAGCAACCCCTTTGTAGTCATTGTATATTTGAATATCTACCTTCAGAAAGGGTACAACAAAAGGTCGCAGGGGGAAGTTGGTGGCTTCTTGGAGCTTGGAGTGGAATTCCTCGATGGTTAGTGTGGAATTCTGTGGGAGAAGAAGAGAGGAGGAGAAGGAAAACATGACTCCATGTGGAAGGCATTAAGTGATAATATTACTTATTGGAAACTAAGCTGTATCCTGGTCTGGAGTGAATGTTTTGGCTTTTGTAATAGGAAGCATATGTGGCCGACCACAGTGAAAAGAGCCTCACAAAACAAAGACACAAGCAGAAATCTCAAAATGTTTGTAGTCGTAGGCATTGAAGTGTTACGAATTGCACATACGTTTTAATAACGGGTTGTCTGGATCTTTCTTCAAGGTCTAAGACTGTTCATATCATCTCTGCAGTCTGAATCATATTTAATTTGCTGCATATTGTACTTTTCTGCTCAGTCAGGTGAAAATGTTTTTCTAGGGTATTTTCATTTTACTACAAGCCTCAAATATTAAGCATCCTCCATATTTGGATGACATCAGTGGACTGACTTTATCAGTAAGAGGGCTGAACAGACTTTAATGAAAATAAAATAAATCATCACAGCCAGGAATTTTGGAGAGTTTTGTCATAAGAGTGTTGCTGTTTTAGTTTTTGACAGACCTCCAGATCTTGCCAAGTTGGCAGAACATACATCACTTTTATTACCCTGGATATAGTGCACACAAACACCTCAGATTTGACCTTTCACCTTAAAGATCCAGCTATGTTAAGGCCATTTCATAGCTAGAATATCCTTGCTGGATCCTTAGGCTACCTGCTATCATCCATAAAGTTGATAACAAAATAAACTGAATACTGAAAATAAGCAAAAGCAAAACACAACAGTCAAGAAACTGAATAAACCCTGGTGTGCATTCGTTGGTGCAAAATAAATAAATACAAAAAAAAAAGCTTTTGGGCATTTGGACGTTAAAATTTTTCCCCTGCAGAACATTTCCCTTGACATCAGGTCCATCATAACACAATGTCAGCATAAACATGCAAACAAAAGCTGCAGTCATAATCAGATGTGAGCATATTCTCCAGAGTACCTCCATATGTGTTCAAATACACCAAGCCTTTCATTTCATTCAATTTCTCAAGCTGGTAAAAATGATCATCTCTCCAGGTTATTGTCCATTCAAAATTTTAAGAAGCTTGTCCATTTATCCATCCATCCATCCATGGGGAATTAGAATAAAGTTTCACATTTTTATGTTCTTGTAAATTCTTCTTTTATTTTCTCTCAAAAAAGCTTCAAAATGTGGCACTCTTTAAATCCACTTTGAAGATTTTCATGCTCTGCACATGCATGGTTTCACTAGACAGGCTCTTTTGCCAACCGAGGATTAGAATGTCGTACTGCAAAACGTCCAATAGGTTCTAAAATCTTTTAGCCACTTCTAGAGATTTTCAAGAATGCCATAACATTTTTCCTAGCATCTTTGTTATTGAAAAAATTATCTGTATTTTTTTTACAAGACCTACTTGAGCCTTTGACTTCAGAGTTGTTACCATATGTCTGATAAAACAAGTGGAACTGAGATCATTTTACTAAGCATGTCCTTCTAATTTCCCATTCTTGCTATATATATATTTTTTTCCAGCAGTCAAAAACGATCTCTTTATATCCGTGTTTGTACTTTAATATGTTTCTGCTTAACAACAAACTCAAACGTTGATGTAAAATCTGGATTGTATCTTCTTTTGTTTCCATTTTAATGATCGATGATACGGCTTTCAGTTTTAGCACCAAGTAGACAAAGGAGCTGAACATGCACACTTGCAAAATAACAGTCAAACAAGGGAGAGAGAGAGAGGGGGGAAAAAAAAGAAAAAAGAATCAAGCGAGACAGACACCGTGAAAAAAAGAAAAAGAAAAGAAAAGCAGACAATATTATTTTTCCTCCTCGCACTCTGAATTATTTCCCAGACCTGAGTTTTGTTGCATTCAGTCTTACATCTGTTCGCCCAGATTGCGTCGGGGCTGTTCTTGACAGCCAGCGAAAGCTCCTGAGCCTCCGCCTCTCTCCCTCTCCCCTGCACGCAACCGACTAATTAACAGTGTCACTCTTTTCAATAAGGCAGGAGGAGGGACACGGAGACGGTGATAGCAGAGATGAAACAGAGGGAGAACAGAGGGATGTGTGGCGGGGAGGTGTGCGAGCCAAAAGGACACAGGAGAGGCATGTGCGTACGCAGACGATGAGAAAAATAAACACGGAAAAAGCCAAAAACAGGTTATACTCTGTGTGGTTAATTAAGAAAATATCTCCCCCTCTCTCCTCTTCATCTCTTCTGCCTCCTCCTCTTCTCAGCACAACATTCAATCAGTATTTCGGTATCCCCCTGCTCATTAAGTGCAAATTTTCTCTGATCGCAGCCTTGATATGTCCATGTCAGCTAAGCTAGAGAACACATCTGTTTTATCTAATCTCAGTTGGTTGAATGTGTTTTTACGCTCGCAGGCTTCATTCGTGCTGCATCGGGTATAAGGCTGAAATAGTGTTTTAATATATTCATTTGTTCCAAGCCTTTCATAAAACTCTTTGAGTTTAGAAGTTTAGAAGGGAATTTAAAATGAAATCGTATTCGATAACATGGTTGTGCGAAACGCATACAACTCGTAATTTATATAATAAGTCCAATCATTTAATAAAAAGTCTAGAATTAAAATTTTCCAGCTGAACTGAATGAACTTAGGATCAGACCAACTTGAAAGCAATGTTGTGCAGAAAATTTATCTTATAACAGATTTTCAGGGCAGCGTAATATATGGCACAACTCGGTGATTAGAGAAGTTAAAGAGAATTCACTTTAGAAAACTCCGAATGTGGTAAATAGACAAAAAATACCAGCAAAACGTGAATAAAATAGTAAAATGATAGCGCTAGTTTCAGTATTTATTAAAGTTAAAATATCAATATTTCAAAGAAAGAGTAATAATGCACTGTTTGGTGAGATCTGAACCAAGCTGCACACTGATTTACATCATTGTTTATGTAAAACTAATTTACAAGAGTTGTCAGGTAAAGCACTTAAGACATTTAAAATCTTGCTTTACAAGCGCAATTAAAGAACAGCTTACTGTGAATGACAAGTGATTAATGAACGACAAGCGTTCTCTTACTCACTTTTCTGTTCAGTGGGAAATACTAAACATGTTATTCTTGCTGAGTATTTTCCAAAAATAAAGTCCTTTAACTCTTTCACCATTCTCATGCTTACCACTAGTCCCAGCACTAGAGTTCGGACTCGTTCGCCGATTTCGGGTGAGATGTCGTTGCCAAACTGCTGTAGAGTTGTGAGGAATCGCTTGAGTTTGCTGAGCTGCCGGGCACCGCAAGCCGGTGGCAGCTGCTGGTTGGCCAGCGAAGATGAGGAGGACGAGCTGGGGCCGTTGCTGTAGCCATTCGGAGGAGATGGCGCGCCGTTGAGTGCCGTTGGGGAGTGGCTACTGCCATTTGTCACTGCACAAATCAAAGACGAGAAGAATTTTGAACTCGATTATTGACATTCTTGAAATCTGAGACAAAAACATAAGACGTTTGTTCTCAAAGGAGCATCCAAGTTTTAACTATGGAAAGGAGATAAGAAGAGTTGCAAAAAAAGAGGTCAGAAAAGAGTCCAATCAAATGAGATAACGGCATTAATGAGTTGAACGAACACATTAATTGTTCATCCAATCCACCGAGTTCTAGCGACTAATCAAAGCAATGTGCGCTCCACTGTTAACACGCTTCACTCTCCACATTTGTTTGCAATTTCTGTGCTTTTTCGGATCCCTTAAGTCATCCCCACAGTAAAGCACTTGGGAGACATTTCACCTCCTCACTCCTCCTTCTCCCTTTCCTTCTCCTCTGCAGTCTAAACAAGCAGGGACAGCAGGACCCCCGCCGGAGTGAGACTACAGCAGTCGCGTGTCTTTGTTCATGTTGCGGGAGTCTATGTACAAAGACATACAAGGCAACATAAAGCTCTCTCTCTAATGAGATTAGTCTCTGACTAGCGATACATTCACTCCCCCTCTGGCCGCCGTCCAAGGCCGCCACTGTAAAGAGACGAGATACTCAAACTGCATCTGGTGACAATTATGGCGGATGGAAATCAAAGCGTACTGCTTTGTAAAAAAAAAAAAAAAACCTTTGGCATGGGTAATGAGAGAGCCAGGTCTTTCCTCCCTCGTTGCACGGAAGCATCAACGTTAATTGTGGGTTGCAAGTGTGTGCAGCAGAAAGAGACAGAAAAAAATTGTATAAATTAAGTTCAAGGAGTACAAGGAAAGTCTGAAGCTGGAAAAGAACAAAACAGAGCCTCTGTTGCAGACAAGAAGGAGCGCCGCTCAGATAAGACTGGAGAGCATGAAGCATTTTGAGCCACACGGCTTCAGATTCCTTGATTCTAGTGCTCTTCATGAAAGTGGTTAAGTATCTACTTCTGAGAGAATACAAGGGTGTAATTTGCTCATCACCAGTGATGTGCGTACCATGGCAAAGCTCCAACAGTTTGTAAGCGTGGGTGTTAATGAACCAGCGGAGGGAGCTCTGCTGTATGGAAAAGACTCAATGCAACTTGATATTAAGGTCTTGACCCCCTTTTTTAATATTCACGTACTTCAGCTGTCTTCCCATGGAGCTCTCCTGTGGAAGAGTCAGCTCCTCCATAAATAGTTTTCAATGCGAAGGTGAAATTAATGTTCAGGTCGACTCTGGTCTCACTTTACAGGTGGGTTAAGGTTCTGCTGTTTTTTGAGGTGCTGGGAAGTTTCTGACCCGAAATCTTAAAACGTCTTGCTTTAAAGACTAAAACTAAGTAATAAGGTGAATAAAAAAGTTAAACTTGAAAATATGGCATTTTACTCTGGGTCTGTATGTTCCTTTGTAATTTTGTTTCCCCATTTCAGACACAAGTTTTTTCCATTACATTTCTTCCTGCTTCCATTTTGTACTGGCAAATTCACCATTTGGAACAAATTTACTTCATGATTTCTGCAGATAAAAAGCCATACAAATGCTAAAATCTTAAATATAATTCTGCAGTCATTCAATAAATTAGAATATGTATTTCGATGTGGCTCGCTTGCCAGATTAAAACTGCCTTCTGAAAATTACATAATTTAAATCAGTATCATAAACAAGCCCACATCTCGGAATATATATTTTTTTAAATTGGTCTGATTTAGTATTCTGATCTTAAATGTTATGTTTTCATTGCCTGTAAGTGGAAAATTGTTATAGTTGACACAAATACAGACTTGAAAACGTCAGTCAGGGTGTCGTTAATCTATATAATGTTTATGAAGTAATATTTCAATTATATTGTAATCTATTAAAAATTACTGTATATTATTTTCTGCTTCCAGTGAATGTGGTTCTGATCAACATTTGAGTCATACAACCTATGAAATATTTGGGATCTTGACCCCTGATCTTATAAAACGATTCTAAGCAACATTTTCTGAGTACATATTAAGTTATTGTGGTCATATAATTACTTGTACAATAAACATTGAAAATATTGAACACAGTTACTTTATTTCAATGATGCAGACACATAATATCTCCTGACAACTGCTTTTCAAACATGAAGCTTCAGCTACAAAATGACCAGAACTCCTGGTATGGCATCAATTCTTGCTGCTGTCAAAGAACTTCCTCTGTTTTTACCTTTTCTTTCATCTATCAGCATTGCAAAGAAGCAAAGTGCTGAGTTATGTGATACAGAATTACAGCGCTGCTCACATGTGGTGGGTGTGTAGGAGCTGTTGCGGGGCGCCCCTTGTGTACTGGGCGGAGGTGGCATGGCAGGGGGCGTCAACCTGGACTGTGTCTTGACATCCGCAGGTGAGTCGGGCATGGTGGAACGCTTCCCAGTGCGATCTGATGAAAGACAAAATCAGAGGCAAAGGTCACAACACTGGTCGGTTAAGAAAACATCTTCTTCACAAGGCCGGTCCAAAATATGGATTGATTTTAAATGGACTCGGTTTTGAGCTCGACGTGTCCTCGCTGCATGTGCATTATGTGACCCTATTGGATGTGTAAATGATCGACAAGAGGAGTTTGACTCTTGATTCCAGCACACATTGTGTCACCCAAAAATAATCATACTGGCGTCCAACACAGCCGCAGTTTTACAAAACCCCACCCCTCCAACCCGGAGATAATGACTACAGACATTACAGTTAAACTAATGCGGATCCTGGTTCCCACAGTTTAGTTCTTGTATCTCTAAGTTATATTCACATCTGCACAGAAAGGAGACATTTCACAGATAAAATTCATTATCACAACCAAAACATTTTCTCCGATACGTCTGTTTTCACTTAATTCAGTTGCTTGCTGCTCAGGTGATAACGCGACATATTGAATATATGGGAACGGCAACAAGACCTTATCAGAGTCCTGCAGTGCGCATAAGGGCAGAGCCCCTCATTGTGCAAGCGAAGATACTGAGCTTCTTTTTGCAAAAAGCTGTAACAAGGCTGTCATTGTATCAACAGTCTGTTATCAAATCATGTCTCCTTGGCACATTTTGGAAAGGAAATTATGAAAAAAAAAGAGAAAAAACGTCAAAGAAAAGGAAAGCCAGAAGGTGAACCAGAAGTGCATTCTGTAACAATGAGAGTATTGCTGTAGTCTTGGAGTAAACGCAACATGGTGAAGAAGTCAAACAGACGGTCTATCTGGACTCAGGTCATACCTGTTTTACACCGATGAACATTTTCCACTGGACCCTCCACTGCGTTTAGGGATGTGTGTGTTTTTCTCTGCTGTATTTCATTGTTTGAATCCAAAGTGTCATTCTGTCAAGCTTAGGTGAAACAAAACAGGCAGGATAGTCTGAGCCTATTAGCTCCAAGCCCTGCTGCCAGCAGCCGCGCCGCACCATGACTAAGAATTTTAGTCACACTGACTTGGCTTTCAGCAGAGAGACAGGCAAGAGATGGAGATGTTTTCCATTTGCCCTGTTGAAGCACATTTGTTTATCCTAAAGTACACATCGACCTGCTGCAGAGACAGCAGATTGAGAATGATGCAATTGTGTGAAAGATTGGAAATTTTCAAGCAAGGTTTGTGAACTCTAACTGAGAATTAAGTTTTGGACGATCAGAAAATAGTGATTGTAAGTTATATTGCACTTTTTTCACTTGATGGACTATTTGTCTCTTTCAGGAGTTTTCAAAAAGTCAGAAGAACCGGGCGATCCTGATTGTTGCTCGGAGTGAGAGTGTCGGCTGAACTCAATTATTCCTTAAATAAATTTGACAATTAACTCTTAATATGAGTTACAGTGATCATTGTGACTCAGCAATATCAGAAAACATAACCCTGACAACGAAAAAGCACAACAAGCCCTTTCTAGAAAAAGTTCTCCACACTGTTTATGGTGGACTGGAGGATTTTTTAACAGTGATGCATGTCACACAGCCAACTTCAAATCAAAACCTAAAATCTTCAGGCAAATCTTTTAACATACTGTTATAAGACATGTTTATAGTTTAATAGCTTACACTGCCAGAACCTAGACTACTACCTAAACTACCTGATATGATGCAATCTGTGTTGCATGAGTCCATACAAATTAGGGATTGATGGGAAAAAGTGATGAAAGCACAAACCCCTTATTTCCATCCAGGCCAGACAAAGAACGCTTTACCTCTCTAATTTTGACACAATAAACATGTCTTGGGTATTTATTTAACAAATTCAGCAGAAATGCCAGAAGAAATAAATCTTGCCTCTAGTAGCCAACTATCACTGCCTACAACATGATCTGTGAAACTACAACGTCGTTAAAAACAGATAGCTGGGAGTCAGGATCCCAGGTAATTCATCATTTCCCCTTCAAACAAGAAAAGACCTCATGCTGTAGATGCTTAACGGGCCAATTAAACCGAGTAAAGCCACCGTTTCACACATGGCTGTGATTATTCAATTCCAATGTATTGTTGAGCTCATGCTGCTAATTGTTCTGTGTCTTACTTTTCCTGATTGTGGGGTCATTTTGGCCCAGTTAATTTGTTTCTGTCATAAAGAGGAGAAGAATATCAGCATTCAGAAGTTGAGAACAATTACTTTAGTCTTCATCAGAACAGCTAAAAATGAAAAGAAACTTATGTCACTATAATGTAGTTTAAGTGATATAGTTATCTATCTAATATATCATCTAATCTATCATCTTGCACTAGAAAATTACAAATTTCACTCAGCTGAGAATTTGACATCAAAAACACTTGATAATAAAAAAAATGCAACCAATTTTTAAGTATACTAATTATCCAAATTTATTATAATTTTTAATGGGTTTTTATTTCTTTTTTCCCAATCATTAATATTTGTTTTGTGAGGATAAAAACAACGTGACAACATCTTTGTACAGAGAAAGTACTTCCTACATTCACTGTATGAAATGGTCACAAAATTAGCTTCCTGTTTCAGGATGTGGAAAAAATAACACAATGTGTTTTTCCAGTGAGTTATGTTGTTCTAAGCAAAATACCTGGCCAAACTTGAATATTTTAAGCAGAAAGGCTAATCATGAAAATCCCCCTAACATGCCTTGTGATTGGATGAAGAGATGAGTTTGGTTACAGGATTATCATTGGTAGATAAGACCTGGGTCAGCATTATGATTGCACTGAGGTAAGAAACAAATCCCGCAAGCCTTTGAAACTCATCTGCTGTCCCTCAGGTGACGAAGATGAAGGATAAGGAATGAATGAGTTGGTGTAAAAACCGGTGCGCACGAGCCTCCAGACAACAGCATGTTACCACACACACGTACTGTGTGACTTACAAACAGCTCCGTCTCGCCGTCTGATTTGATTGGGTGCACTACACGGCATGTAAGTGGAATAAAATTGATGGCTTCATGCTAACCAACAGGGCCTGTGGCATCCATTCACTGTGCAATTGTAGTGCTTCTTGAATCAATAGGAATTCAGGTCAACAAAATAAATTGGAAAAAAATAAAAATACATCACACAACTCAAGCTGGTGATTGAAAACAACTCGCGGAGTTCTGCCAGTGAACATGGCGTGCATGTCTTAAGACAGGAGCAGGCAAACAATCAGACAAGCTCTCATTTTATTACAGCTATAGAAGATGGCTGAACCACACGAAGCACTTGCTTCTTCTGCATGCATAATTTAGAAGCAAAAAGCAACCTTAAACAACCTTGAAATATGGGGCATCTCGTCCAGTCTAATGCATCTGTTAAAAGTTAATGGCCGACTGCACATCTATTGTCCATTTATTAGTCCTGTTACTGTCCCGCCTGCATAAAATCATAAAGAAAGCAAGCACCAGATCTGTGGCCAATCGATGGCAGTCCAGGACAGACGGGTATTGATGTGCAGAGCCTTAATGGAAAGAGGAGGGTGAGGGGAGGGCGATGAGTGCTTTGACTTTACCTAACTCACATTACGACTTCTGAGAAGTGCTGTTGTCCAGCAGTTAATGGATTGAAGAGGATGAGAACAGTTGTTGAAGAGGCAGCAATTAGATATGAGGGAACAGAAGTCTTTTCAATGTGTTGATTCACTTGGACAGAAGGGGTGCTAAACCTATCGATCACGCCTGGAGATGACAGAGATAAATGACTCGCATTAGCCTCCCCATTCATGATTTTTTTTTTCTTTATCTGCTGCAGCATAAAAGAGCTTTTAGCACACATATTGGTAGATGAGGTGGTTTGAATAAGATATACTCGAGAGACTATAAGTGCTGCGATGGTGTCTCATTGCATATCGTTTCCCGTCTATCAAAATAAAGTAGTTACTTGGATTTTATTTGAATCACAAGATCCCAAAGGTTGGGCCAGCTTCATACCGTAACAGTTCCAGTCATCTGGTAGTTTTTAGGTAAGAGAAAGGCGACTTGTGTAGAACATATATCAAATTGTATCTACCTGTTTTGTGATGGATTTGACATCCAGTAATTTAAAGTAATTTCAACATTTATTGATTAACGACGGTACGGGCAATATTGTACTGTTTATCAAATACCAAACAAAAATAAACTTGTTGTGATATGAACCAGTCATCATAAGGATAAACACAAACTAATTAATTTTGGTAAGTTATGAAAGCTGATGGAGGAGTTTTGAATTCTGACTTTTTCCAGAAGTTGATACTAGCCTGGATTTACATGTTAGTATGACTGAATGCAATTAAACTGTTTGGCAATTCAGGTTAATTACTTAAACTAAGAGTAAAGTCTATAGTCATGGTTATTAACAGCATAATTCTGGTTCTCGAAATGACTGTTTCTAGCTTTGTGAGGTTTCCCTTGCAACTTGCTTTATTTAGTTCTCAAATGAATAAATGATTCATGCACATGCCAAAATCTACTCAGCTTTAAAAGTTTTCCCCACAATAACCTATCTTTAGTGAAACCTCTCAAATCTGCATCGGAAAATAACAATCCTCTATTTGTCAATAAATAAGAAGTGCTTTCAACAATGTTTACGTTTTGAAAGCAACTCAAGTTTTCTCAAGAATCTTTAATATATACATAAATAGGTTGGACCAACTCTGAAGTCAACAGAAAATAGATTGCACTGTTTCCAACATATCAAAGTGCAAACGATAACATCAAGAGTCTTGCAAGAATATTAAGACTGCAACTTTATATGCAACACTCAGCATCAGAGCAATTTTGGATTGGTTACCATTTGTTCTGACCTTTGCACACTATAAACAGAAATAAATATATAGAGTAGGTTGCCTGGAACGACAAATAATTTATTATGTTAAAATAAACTAACACCCACAGCTTACCATTGCAACTTATTGTATTCATATATTCAACTTTTTTCCAGTCACCAGTACAGGTGATTTATCCTCGAATGATGTTGAATATTTTGGTTTGTGGT